GCTGTGAACGAACTGAGTACTTCAGTTCTGGTGCAAAAATGTACGATAGCACTGGCAAGCCTGATGCATTCCAGCCTGGGTTGTATATTTTTTCATGGTTTACATTTTTTGTACATTTTTTTACAAACTTTTTAATCTTTTAGGATGAAATATAATTTCCAACTATTTTAATATAAGTAAATAGAAAAGTTGGATAATCATTAATGCATGTGCAAGCAGGTAAATGTTGCAAAGTAAAAATATACAAAATTTTCAAACAGCCGTCAACTTACACATGCGCCTGACAATTATAAGCTTTACCCTTTTGCGGAAAGACTTCCCGGCTGTAGCATTAAACTTAAGCTTGGACACTAACGTAGCACTGAGCAAGTAAATCAACAGCCATTACCTGTGGGAAGATTGGAAACGCTGGCGGCCAACTCATTCACGATACAAACCTTGCCTCGCGTCGATAATACACGCACTGCTTCGAATATCTGCCGCGCTGCTTCCTTTCTGCAAAGCTTAAAGAAATGCGCTCACCTGAATAACCAATGATTTCCATTATAAGTAAGTTAATTGATTTTAAGTAAAATATTTTATTTCGCTGACAGGTATGATGCAACGGGAAGTAGCGCTGTTTTTGGGTAAAAGTTTTACGCCGATAGTTTGAGAATCATTCTGCCCCTTCACGATTCATTCATTCGTTTCGATGGCAGATTGATATTAGAATATGCCAGTGAGATAAACCCGCTATCAGCTTACTTATAAGCAACCCTAGTGAATCATTTACAGTTCCGTCAGCGTCTGACTGCAGCTGGCGTTTGCTGCTATTCGAGCTACTTTCGAGTGTCTCCGCATTTCATAAGAGTGGTTGAGACTGGAAGCAAATAATTTATGATTTTGACCCGACATTTTATTTTGCGTTTTTTGCAACTATGCAGTGCAAAAACGCATATTGACAAGGAGTTGTCTGTGTGTCTGTGTGTTCGTCTGTCACGCACTTTCATCTCAAGATCTATAAAAGCTGCAGGGCTGAAATTGGGAGACTTAATCTACATGCACGTGCTGGCTCCAATCCACAAAATGGGCGCCATCACCCGGGTGGTACCCGCGCACGGGCCCGCCAAAGTTTTTTTGGAGTAAGTTCATAACTCGGGGGTCTGAGAAGCTAGAACGCTGAAATCAAAGGGGGGATGTTCCCTGTCCAAGTGGGTATTAAGGAGTTCAAACTCTGTCCGCGGGTAAGCGTGACACCTACGTACGGGCCCGTGAAAGTTTCTTCCGGGTAAGTTGCTAACTTGAGAACGTAAATAGCTAGAAGACTGGAATTTTGAGGGGATGTTTTCTAACATTTCTGACGGCCAGTGTGAAATTTTTTTAGTTAGAAGCATCTACCGGAAAAACCAGTGCCGTTACCAACAAAAATCTGCGGGGAGCTGTGCAAAAAACGCGTCTTCGCATGGGCAGCCCGTGTGTTGGTCATTTATTATTTGGCGTAGCTGCATTCAGTGTATAGGAAAACGCCAGTAATATCATTGATGCTAGGTACCCCTGTACTGAGTATCCAAGTAGTTTTGGAATTCTTGGTATGTTCCACATATGTTCTATTATTATTTTTTCGTGCAAATTTTAAAGCATCACTTTAAATCGATGAATTTTTAAAAGCTGTAATGGAGGAGAGCTAACCCGGCGAATAAAATGATGACATTGGATGTGACTTCCTCAAAATATTCCTCTGTGGTAGCATTGTGCAGTGAATTGAGCTTCAATTCGATGTACTTTTGCACCTACAACAGCAGAACTATATCATTTCAAAGTGATGGAATTTTGAAATTACTTATCTTTCTCTTTACTCTCTGTGTCCAGAAAGTTACGCCATCAGCAGGAAGAGTAGTACTAACGTGAATTTCGAAGTAT